TAAGCCATTTAATTAAGGCTTTACTTAAAGTATTTAATGTCTCACAGTTACTAAAAACAGCAGAACAGTATTGAGATGGGGAAGGAGTTCCTGAGACTTCTTTTCTCCATGAACATAATTTGGGGCATTATAATGGCAAAACATCAATGCTCAGCAAAGTTACTAATATCAGTGACTTCTAGGTCCTTTGTCTCCTAAACTGGAAGCATGAATTTCATGGAAAGAGAGTGTGTATCTTAGAAATAGTTCTACTATGGAAGAAACTTACAGGGGATTTCATTGTAGAAAAAAAGCAAACAGAGCATTGATAGGCAGTAGGGTTCAAGTGGGTTTCTGCTGAGAATCTCTGCCTAGGAGTTAATAAGAATTCTTGGGAAGAGAAGAGGAGAGGTGAGCTGGTCAAACAAGGTGTCCCAATCCCAGATCTCCAGGAGGCATGCATCTGCTTCTCTATCCCAAATGGGCTGGACAGGGGTTTCAGGGCACACATTTAAGTGTTCAGTCACACCCACTAGGCAGCTGTGCTCAGTAGAGTCTTGTGTTAAAGGAGAAGGAAGATAAAGAGGAGAAACCAGTACGTGAGCCAGTTTCTCTAAACATGGCATTTCTAGCCCTGGATAGGACAAACTATTTACAGAACCAACAACCAAACATCAAAGTACCAAGCAAGAGGATATGATTATTTTGTTTCATTTAAACTTGTAATTATCTAATTATTTCATATAAATTTATATTAAAATAAATTACCAAGCAAGTGGATAAACTAAAACCAATTATTTTATTAATTACAATATTGCCATATTACAGCCTTGGTATCTGGGAAAAAGAAGCTTGTATAATGTTATTTCTAAACTCTATAGATTCACAGTATGTTTGGCAAATATCAAAACTGAGGAATAAATTATGGTATCAGTATTTAAAAGAAACATAATTAAATGTATTAGGCAAATGCATACATAAGTAAATATGGTAATTGAATACAATTGGTGGTTTATTGATATAAAGGGCCCTATAATACTTTATTGCATAAGTATTACTTTTAAAATTTCACTAGGTGGCAGGCTTAGCTAATGTATTACTACTTAGTTTAAAATAATAAAGTCCATTTACATGTAAGAGGCAAGTCACATACATTTTGTTGCAAATAGAATTTTAGCCACAGAAGTCACTCAAATACAATCAGGTCCTGCAATTTAATTACTACTCACTCATTCAGGCTCCACCTCTAATTCTGTTCTACCTAATGAGTTAGTGAAGGAAGCCATATGCATATAGGTAATTTTCATGCTCCATGGCAAAATAAAAAGTCTCCAAGAGAGGAAATATATTTCCATCCTTGTGAAGCTATGTTTGTCTCATAGTTATCATTGACTAGTGTCTTGATGTCACTTCACATAGGAGCAGCCTGCTCTGCCACAGTTTATCACCATTTAAGCTAATGTGCATAGGCTGATAACCATTCAGCTCTGCTACCTCCATAGTAAATTTCCAGAGAGTTAAATCATGAGTAGTTCACTTCTGTACCTTCTTTGTATTTCCTGGAGACCAGAGATTTCTGATAATAGACCTTCATTGATTGTTTGTTAAATTAGATGTTAGCAGCCCTCTTGTCTTAGAACAGGGCCTAGCCCTTTTTACACTGGCTAAGGTGAGAGACTTGTTATTTCCTAGATATTCTTAATAATATTGTTTTGAATACCTGAGTTTCTTTCTCTCATACCCACTCTTTATGATAGTGATAAGAAATGGCATTTTGAATGTGGATTCTGGATCTGGAGAATTAGCTAGATTCTGACTATGAAAATACTACAGTAAACATGTTGTTTTGTTTTTCTTTGCTTCAGTTTCTTCAGTAAGGTGCCCATTGCGAGAGATTTCTAAAGAAAGGATTTCCCTCCTGTGGTTTGAGGAGATAATACAGCTAGTTCCCTTGCTTTGCAATAGAATTTGTAAACTCCCACCAGCCAAACATCAAAGTACCAAGCAAGAGGATGTGACTGGAGTCTGGCCAAGAGTAGATTTGCTAAATCCACAGCCAGAGGCACCACGATAAGTTTGTGTGATGGTTTGGTTCAGACCAGCACAAGTCTGTGGACATTGAAATGGTAGTGTCAGGCTAAGTTACCTGCCCTATATTCTTGCAGAAAGGAGGTACAAATGGAAATGGAGAAGATGGAAACTCAAGTATAGAGCACAGCATCTAGTGCCTAGATAAGATATAAGCTTCTGTGTTCATTGACCCACTTTAACAGCATTATTTATTCACTTAAGTTTGGTGAGCCCCTGTTATTTAATATTGACTTTGACATCCCATATGCCAAATACATCTAGTGATATTATTTTATTTATTAGACAGATAACCTTAAAACTCAAAAGTTGGTATAAGTTTTAATGGTTAGCTTGTCGAAAAATCATCTAATTTTTTTTTTTTGAGGCTGCTCTTGTAATTTTTTCAGGAGCTTTCTCAATGAAGGGCTTTCTATGATAAACTACCATAGTGATATCTGAATGAAAAGACAAAGATGCTGAAAGCACATTAGGATGCACACAGTATAGACTCTCTGTAAACTAAACAGCACAAGCCCTGTGTCAACCGCCAGCCCTTCATCCCAACTGCATGAGCCAAGCCTCAGAAAGCAGGTCTTAAAAGATTTGCTAGTTAATGATATATAATAAGATAGGCTGTGGTGGGCCCTGAAAAGAGCGCCTGGCCTTTCTGGATGTTGCTATTTCATAAGAGAAAATCCCCTGGAGTACAGGGCAGTAGATAGTGTGAAAATCAAATGCCAGGGAGCTTTAGGGACGGATTTTCACTTCAAAAGATTTAAAACCTCTCATCTTAACTGGATTCCAGAGGAAATATAAAAAAATAGCTTTGATTTCAAACATGTAAAGGCTGAAGAGAAAAGCAAACAAGAAAGCAATGGCATTGTAGGAAGAAAGACTAAGAAAAGAGAAAAAACAGCTAAAAAAGCAATAAAGCTTCTATAAGATGTAGCAGTGGTATGGCTCAGTAGCAAGGGGGTCTGCCATAGAAGGGCCGTGCTGTTGTGTTCTCTTCCCCCTCTCTCTGTCTTTTTCTCTCACGTAAGAATAAGAATAAGAATAACAACATTTAAATTCCTGCCACATGGCTAAATGTTTCACAAACCACCCATAATCATCTGGACTCTCTTCCTTACAAGACATTCAAAACAATGACATGTCTCACAAATAAATGACTATGTTTTTATGTTAAACCTCAGAAATAGGAATTACAATCAGGTTACTGTTTACTTCACCCTTCTTACATGTTACTTAGACAAAGAAATAGAGTCTGTCATCAAAACTCAGATGAAGACATGATACTGGCTGCATCTCTCTTGTCTATAAAGCAAGAATGACGTCAGGGTTCCTAAAGGCCCATCTAAGTAAAGCAGAGGGTATACAAGTTTCAAGCAGAACTGTGAAGGAGAGTGTTCTGAATAATGGTTTACTGTGTTAACTTGAATGGTCAAGGGAGCCCTTGGAAAGATACCTAAGAGGAATTCATCAGGAACCATTGGCCTATCTGAAAACAGGTCCCAGGAATGCTGCTGAAGTGTTAGCTTGCCACCATTGTGTGGTAGGAACGAGATGTTTCAGCAAGTCTTCTATCAGCATCAGGAAATTAGAGTCCGGGAAATGTAAAAACGCTCTCAGCTCTATGGCTTAGGATGGAACTCCTCTTTTAAAACAAAGACAGCCCTTTGTAAAATGCTGTTAAGCAATGAGCTGCTAAAGCAGGAAGGGCCCTCAGTGTTGGAATTTAGAGGAAATGGAGCTGATTTGTTATTAAGGCCCAAACACATGGCTTATGTCTCATACTTTTCAGTCACTGCTAGTCCTTGAGTTCAAGAATGAGTTCAAACTACTATCAGATACTTTAAGTGATATTAGATTAGTTTAACTTAAAGGCCTTTTTTTGGGAGAGGAAGAGTATTAACATAAGAAATAACTACTGGAGAAGCCTAAAATATTAGAACCAGACAAACTATAGGTGGAGCATGAAGATCAGATAGACCAGAGCAGCAACAGAAGCAAAAACAGAGTCATTTATTACACACACCATCATGATGCCCTTCACTATAAGGGTAAAAAAACGTCAAGTGTGTGTATGTGGGCATGTGAGTTTTTCAGTGTATAAAAGGGACATATGGAAAGTAAGTAATGCAAAAAAACACTTCTGTAGGGAGAAACCCTGATTAGAGATACCGCTGAGCATGCTAGCTTGGGCATGGTCACAGTTACATAACAGGGTTTAAGAAGGAGAGAGGTGAGCATGCTTGGCTGAGCTAACTGGGTCTGTCCTGCTCAAGTGCAAACCTGGTCACTGGTTCCCTTTTGTGAGTATTTTCCCCCAATAAACTACCGGTTATCAACCTATTTCTGACTCCACTTTGTAATCATCAATAAACTTCACTTGTGTTAATATCTTTATTAATGCTTTAGCATTGACTCCAAATCATTGGTAAAATTTATCTAAATTATGGTGTTTTCTCATCTTAGAAGCTCATTGTACCAAGATTTGAACTTTAGAAAGAGTATGGTATTAGGCTAGGAAGCCATAGCTCTGGAAAATTCATAGAATGGACACAAAGAACATCATGTGAATTTTTTAGCAATCTAAATATTCATATATTTTATTTTAATATCCCCCACAAAGTAATCTTAATAACTTCTTAAATCAACTTTATGAGTTTCTCTTCCATGCTGTCTTGTAATTATGGAGATAAAATGTCTAATAAAAGGAAAATTGCTGAATTTATTTTTTCTTCCAGTACTAATATGTTGGTTAAAATATTTTAAAAATTAGTGTTTCATTTTTCTTGTATTTTACAGATCATTTTATGTGGCAATGCCTGAAGTTGTAATTGGATGTAGTTTTATGCCCATGGCTAAGAATCACTCATTCGTAAATATGTTATTACAAAAACATACCATATTGGATTATTAGTGTGATGACTTTTTCTTTAATTTAGGTTGTTTTCCAGTCTCAGTATTATCACTGAGCTTACTCACCCAGCAAATATGAGATTCATGCAATTCAGAGCCAAGGACTGTTACTCTCTTGCACTTTCAAAACTGGAAAAGGTAAGACCAATATTAAGAAAGTTTGTCCATTTGGTTTCAAAGAATCATGGAAGATATATCTTAAAAGGAAAATTGACTTTGGTGATTGCTGGCATCAGTCATCTCACTGGCACTGCCTGAGCCAAAGCCAAATTTGCTGCCAACCCAGGCAAGGGAGACAACCACTTCGATAGGGCTATGGTGTGACAGCAAAGTATAAACAGCAGGAGCAAAATGCATTAAGGACTGGAAATTTAATTTAATAAGAGTGTTTCAAGGAAGTCACCTAATTAGGACTATATTATTAGAATGCTAAACAAATCAATGATTTTACAATTATCTTCTGTAGATGTTAAGGTTTGGTTTCCATTCTCATGGGTCAAGTTGAGTATGGTTCATGGCTTCTCAACTCTTGGATAATGCTAGACTTCTAGGCAACTTCTCAGAGGGCAAACTTTGTGACTGATCAGAAATGCTTCATAGTTCTGCAATCGTCAAGAGCAAAGATCAATGTTTCAGCTCTTTCTCACGTGATTAGCTTGCTCAAGTGCAGACATATTGCACAATGGTCAAACTAACAGGAGATGCCTGGCTTTTGCTGATCACCAAATTTGGTAATACAAAGACATCAACAAGAGTTTTCTTGTGTGTTGTTTATGGCAAGTACCAGCCCAGCTGAATAGAGTCAGATAGACTATCTGGCCTCAGTGATGGGTTTCATTATTATGACAGACACTGCCTGAACTTCGGAAAGATACGTGGTGCTAAAATGGTTTCAGTACTCTCTGTATATTTCAATCTCCAGAGCAAACACATATGCTATGTTAGTCTACTCTTACTATACTATTATTTGGGTTTAGCAAAATCACTGTTATTCAAGAGTCAAGATTCAGCTCTCAAATCAATGTTGTATGAGAAACAGAACCAGGGGAGCTCATAGCAAATCCAGGATGCCACACCACTTTAAAGGTCTTTGAGTGAGGGTTAAACAAGCCCAGTCTTCAAAAGCAAATCCAATAATTAGGAGTCTGGGTGGAACTGGTGATGATGTATACTTTCATCATTGTCCTGACAAGTGAGGTGGGATGACACAGTAACAAAGCCCAGGCTCTGGAGTCAGAAGTCACCTCTCCTCACTTCTCAGTAATGGAACCTGGATGAATTATTTTCTTGTTTCTAGGCTTGAAATCTTATCTGGAAAATGGCACTAAGAAGTAAATAATGTCATATAAAGATTATGGTTCATAATAAAGGCAAACAGCCCAATATGTTATTAGGTAGCTATTTAAATGATAATAAAAGGATAAATTATATTTGTTTACATTGTCACAAGTCACAATCTTAATATCTACAATTAATTATTTGCAAAAATATTGGCTGCAGAAATGCCATAATTGTGTATAATATTTTTAGCATTTATTAGTGGCTAAACCTGTGTAATTATGTTTCTTGCACTAAGTATAAAAAAGACAAAATGGAGATTTTTTTGTAAATCTTTTTTAAGCATTTAATTAAAACTGATATCTATTGACATCTTACAAATCCTTTCTAATATTATAGAAATCTTTATGTGAATATCCATAGCAAAGGAAGTATGTCATATTATATAATATACTAAGCAGATAATAAATGCTATATCAGTTATTTTAATAACCAATAAGACACATTTTGAGTGTATATCAACCAGTTATCTACCTCTGTTCATATATAGAAAAAAAATGAAATTTGTATATCTTTGCAACAAACACGAAGCCATGTTACTGAGCAAGGGCCTTGTGCTCCACTCCCATGAAAATCCCTTCTGTGAATTTACATTTGTTTAAAAGGAATATTTACTGTGAGACTGTCCAAGAGAGGTGTCAGGAGTGAAAACTGGTTAGGGTATTATTGATTGGATGACAGAAAGTGGGAATACTGGGATCTGTGCGGAGACAAAGAAGATTTTTCTAGTGAAGTAGTACTTTCTATATGTTAAATATTGACCTTTTTATCATACAGGAAGGGAAATTGGAGTCCCTTTTGGGACTCTTAGTCTTATTGATAAAAATCTTAACTTGGACTCTAATGAAACTCAAGGACAATAAATGACGTTTTATAATAAGCTGCTCTTCAGGCAGTCAACGTATAAATGAAGGAAACATTGCAATACCTATTAAGATTCATCCTGACCCCTCTATGTCTCTAGGAATGAGTTCTAAGACACCTTCCGGTGATCTGAATCTAGAAAGAAACCTATGGAATGAGTCTTCTTTTTTTAATTTAAAATTTTATCTTTTGTACTAGTAATAGGTGTGTGTGTGGGGGGGGGGGTGTCAGCAACACGCACGATCACTTCTCTCCTTCCTCTGTAGGTCCCAGAGGTCCACCTGAAGTTGTCAGGCTTTTGTAGGAAGCACTTTATCCACTGAGCCATTGTGTTGAGCTTAGACTAAGTGTTAATCAGGTACTCTCAGAAGAATTCACCTGGGTTAATTCTATGACTTTCTTTAAAGGAAGAGTGCAAGAGAAGCCCAGAGAGCCCTTCCTGGTTCTGATGCTTTAGCAAATGCAAAGGTGACAGTGAGAGTCCTGAGCCCATTGTCACAGCCACAGCACAGGTTCAAAATGGAAAAGTAGCTTAAAGCAGAAAGGCATTACTGGTCCATAGCAACTTTCCATGTCTCAAAATGCCTTGATAACCCCTGGTCACAACCTGTACTTGCTAAGCCTTGTCCATTCCCTTGTGGTCTCAAAGTAGTAGATACCAGTGGAGGTTAGTGTGCTGAGCCCCATATCAGAAGCTTCCACAGCAGTTATCATTTAAGTCAACTCTCCTGTCCATAGTATATCATTCCATCTGAGGCTCTGGCATTACTATTCCTTCACTAAGTAATGAAAATGTGAAGTGAACAGTGTGGTTCATTAAAAATATGCGTTTTTGATCTTTGTCCCTATCATCTGCCTTTAAATCCACAAGGTTCTGTGCTCAGAGTCCTACGTAGACATAGACTCTCCCTGTAGGCTGTTTCTCTGCATCAACTTTGGTGAAATAGCATTTCATGTGCTCTGTGAGTGAACTCACAGTATTATCAGACCAGAGAAACTATGAGAGGTCCTGAGTTATTTCTGGATTGGCAGAAAAGCCTGTGGCTTGAAGTCACCTGGGACTCATGGCTTAGGTAGAAGGATGGAAAGCCATGTGAGATAGGAAATCTATAGCTTGTAAGATCTCTTCACTAAATGCAAGAAGTTAAGAGCCGGGTGCAGCATCCATCTAATAGCAGGGAATTGATATCATAATGGAAACAGTTACATGCAACATTTGTAATTACTGGAGAGCTAAAAAGGGGGCATACTAATGACTAGAGAGGAATTGTGTAGGAGCAATAGGAAAAAATTTAAAAGTTTTGTTTTGCATGTGTTCATTTTGTAAAATTAACAAGGAATAATTTTGTATATCATCTTAAATCAAACTTGAATTAAATTAAATTAAACTTAAATTAGATTGAATTATAGGGAATGAATATTTATTGGGCAGCCACCGCATGTGCACAAAATGCCTCGCCAAATATTGGCAGTTTTAAAATTGAACAAAAAAATGGGAATGATAATTTGATGGCTAACACAGATATATAAAAATTCATAAGAGAATATTGTCTAACTTTTTATTTTCTGTACAGACAACTATCTTGAATTATTGAATTATTTATTAAAAGTTCAGGTACTGTAATTGCTAAATTGAATTGTGGTATCAGATGCCAGCACTGGATTTGATCCAATAGTAAAAATTCATATACTGTTTTTATGAATACTCTCTATCCTTTCCTTACATAAATTTTTTCAAATGAATTTGAAAAAATATAGTTTTTTATTTCTTTACAATAGTTGACAAATATAATTTATATGAATAACAACTTTAATATATGAATTAAGTTTTAAAACAACAGGTTTATGATCTTCACATTGGGCCACTAACTAGGTCATGAGCAACCCTAGAGGCTAATTTGCAATGGCCATAGTGTAGACACTTACTCTGGAACATTCCAAAGAATTGCCATGTATTATTTTTGAAGAAGAATGCATATGTACACATACTAAAACAATTAATATTGAAATTCCAAATGCAGAAAAATGATAGTGATATGAAGTGGTTGATTCAAAGTATTGAAACTTAAAACACATATTAAATATTAATTAAATATAATGGCTATTGTAAGGAGTGGTAACAGAGAGATGCATAGGTATATGATAGAAAGAAAAAGGAAAGAAAGAGAAAGGTAGATAGAAAAAATTCAACCTAGGATGGCAAATACCTATGAGTATTTTGATTTAAATATATATGTGAGATATAATATATATATTAGGCAAGGTATTTTTTAAAAACTAATTTTCTATTTCTCTTCTAGGTAAACTAGAACTTCCATTTCTTTCATTATTTTGGTCTCTTACTAGTTTGTAAAGCACAAACTAATTTTTCATCTAGAAAGGAAAATGCACACATTTAGTTCTCTGATCTGAGAGGCAGCATAGTAAGATAGGCAAGCTTAACATCAAGATTCAGAGAGAGAGAGAGAGAGAGAGAGAGAGAGAGAACACTCTGGAAGCAGGGGAATGGAGAAATGTTTAAGCAGTTAAAAGCACTTGCTGCTCTTCAAAAGATCTGTGTTCAATTTCTAGGGCCAGCATTGTGACTTGCAAGTGTCTGTAACACCAGTTCCAGAAGATATGATACCATCTTCTGGTCACTGTAGACACCAGACACACATGTAGTACACAGACATACATACATACACACACTGTAGACACCAGACACACATGTAGTACACAGACATATATCTATTCACACACGTCAAATAAAACTAAAATTTATATCTTAAAAATACATATAAAAGGAAAAAATATAATTTGGAACCAACGCAGCAACACATAAATACAATGAAAAAATGATCACACATGTGCATCCTAAATAACTTTTCTCCATCTTACAGGCGGATGTTAGCTGCAAGCCTCTGTGTTTATATTATGTCCTGTTTAGCCCAAGC